CGGTTGGGTGTCCAACTTCGGCTCGGGTCATGATCTCACGGTTAGTGGGTTTGAGCCCCGCATCGGGCTCTGTGCTGACAGCTGGCTCAGAGCCTGGAGCCTGTTTCAGATTCTGTGTCTCCCTCTCTCTCTGACCCTCCCCTGATCACACTGTCTCGCTCTCTCAGAAATAAAAAAAATTAAAAAAAAAAAAAAAAAAAAGAATCACTGCTGTGATTCCTTACTTCCTAATAAACAGGACATTTGAACTGGATGCTCCTTTAATTTTTATTTTAGTATTTAAAAGAGGGATATCTTAATATTATTCAAAGGGCTAAATTCCATGGTTTCCCATTGTAATGGGATTCACCACCACAATCTGGTGCCATTTTTCTTTTTCAGGCCATGCCTTTTCACTGCCTGTTGTGTAAATGTTCTCTACTCCCGTTTCTCCCATCCTCTTCATCTCCAGACTCCCTGCCAATACAATGTCATCACCCTGTTCCTATCATTACATCCTGTTCTCCACTTTTAGTTTTTGTTTACCTGACGTTTTCTCTAACTGCTCCTTCTCTGGGGTTATAGTGTCCCTTACTCTTCCTTCTTTTTCATCTTGACATTGAGCTGGTGCCACCACTCTAAGCTGGTCCTTTAATTCTCCTGAGGTTATAGTGAGAATTCCTCTAGAGCTTACTGTAGTTCTGTTAGACACTTTTAGTTTTAGTTCCCTTTTCTCCTGGGCACCTTGTAATTTAAATAAGGAGAAATGCCATCAGAATTAATCATTTTAATGTATTATTGAAGAGAGGAAAATAACTTTAGCACAATGGAAGTTCTTTCTGTGTCATTGGCAAATAACACAATTGAACCAGTGGTTCAAATGGCTGTCACAAACAGCAAGAGAGACATTACCTATGTACATAATGAAAGGCCAAAGTTTCTTTGCCTATAAATTCAAGAAATCTGTTATCCATCAAAAAAATAATAACCAAACAAAACCCACAAATACCCTTTATCTCATCATCATAATAGTGATTTTCATTTCTGGCGTGCAGCAGCATGAATTCAAATATGTTATTCGTGAAAATTAGGGTTGTTTCTTAAAAAATTCTATTCAGCTCTGCTGGTTATAATGAGTTTGTCTTTGTCAATAGGTTTTTATGTTTAAATGAAAAGGTAGTGGTAAACTACCACTAGAATTGCTAGATGCACTACCCCTGTGCTGTTTTATGACATACCTCCTTGGCAAATCAGCGTCCCTTGAGTAATCACCGTGGCTATGAAAATGAGCATATTATTTCACTGTTAACATGCACTGCTAAGAAGAAAGAGAAGGTGTGTGGGCTTACTGATGTTTTTATTTTCCTTCCTTCCCGGATTCACTGAGTAAGAAGCAGTATAGGCAGGGTGTTCTAAATTCAAAGTTTGGTCATGGAGTTTTAGAACTTAATGCTTCCAACGTATACAAAGTTTATGAGAAGTAACACGTTGTTAACTTTCAGTTCAAATAAGACACTGTCACACCTGGCCTTCATTTTACTAACAGGCAGACAGGCTCACAGACATGAAGAGTAAAGAAGCAAATATGAAAAAGGATTCTTAGTCAAGTAAAGAAGGCAAGGTGAATAACAGCCACCAGGATCTCAAGCACTTGTCAACACATCTCTGGCAAATAGGCACTATTATAATCCCCTTTACACAGATCAAATAACTGAGGCTGTGATGTAACTTGATCAAGATCATGGAGTTTTAAATCACAGAGTCAAGACCTGAACTGGGTTTGTCTTAAGTCTACCTCTGTGCTTCAATCTAATACCAGACAGCACAGAAAGCTTTGGAGCATGCTTTGCCTATGGCCACATAGACTATGCAAGCAGTCCATGTGGACAGTTTTGATAAAGAAAAGGCATAAAATAGCTATTCATTCTTCCTTAACCAATGTTTCTGTAAGTTGAAGCTGACCTAGACCCCTGGTAGAAGGTGGATTCTGTATCCATGTGTCAAGGTATGGTCTGCGGAAGCAGCATTTAGTCAATATGTACATTTACAATGTATCACTCTACATTTAGGAACCCAATGGAGGGAAGCAGAATAACTTACTGATTAACCAGAGAATTTCAAGAGAGTTTGACACTATGGTTTGGTTTGTTTGCTTTCTTCCTTTTCAAACTAAAGAACCCCTGGAGAAGCTTATTTAAAATGCAGATCCCAGACTCTTTCTAAGTGATTCTGATTCACATGTCTATAGTGGTGTCTAAGCATTGGTATTTTGGAAACTCTAAAAATGTAATGGTTCCCTGACCACTACCCTCAACCCTCTTCCTGGAAGCAACCACTTTAGGACCTTTTAATACTTGTGACTGGCATTTATGTAGTTCTCCAGTGCTATCAAGGTAAGTTCCAAAGCATCTGGACCTTCTAATCCATGTGTCAGATTGGCTTTAGTGTTTCACATTAGCCATCACACATTTATTAGTAATCATCTAGAGAAAGAAAAATAATACTTATTAAGCCCCTACTATATACAAGGTCTTTATATACAACATCTTGTTGAATACCTACTACAACTCTATGAAGTAGGTACATATTTCAGGTCACAGGTTTGCAAGGGGTAGAGGTGGCTTTTGAATCCAGTTTGGCTAAAATATAAGTGCTTGTCCCAGTAAAGCACAGTACAGAACTGTGTGGTGGAATCCCTGACTTCAAAGAGCTTTCTGCTTGGGAAAAAAGAGTAGAAAATAGGAGAAGTCTTAGGAGGAACTCAATAAGTGTGATTCATGACATCTTGTTTATTGTGCCCTTCTTCTAACCCTGGCCCAGTGTTAAGCACTGGAGATACCATTTGAATGCTGGTCCTTCTGCTGCCTCTTCCCAATCCCTTGGCTGCAGAAAAGGTAGAAGGAGAGGATGCAGGTAAAAGCACTGAGGAAATGCTAACACAAGACTTGGGCCCCACAGCCAAGAACCAGGAAGTTTTCCAAATGAGACAGGGAAAACTCCGATGATGTTACCCAGCCTGGAAAGTCCCCAGTTATGTATTACTAATAGTGAACCAAAGACTGCCAAGTGTACTCGAATGGCAGTCAGAACGCCCTCCCACTCCACCTCCAAAAATCCTGCCCTAATAGAAAAATCTCATCCTGATAGAACACTCATCAATCAGACTATCTTAAGAGTTTCTCCTTTCTCTTTAAAAAATGCACTCTCTTTTCAAAGGCCTCCTAGTTTCTGCTGGAAGGAAAGTGATGGTAGCAGACCCCTTTACTAAAGTAATGTCTGAATAAAAAGCCTTCGATTAATTCTACACGTGGTCTGTTTCCTTCTGACAACCAAGTTTAAAGCTCTCACCGAGTTTAAACATTGCTGAATGTTTGTAGTGTTTGTAATCTAACCTGGCTAAATGGAAGACACAGTAATGATGTGATGATGTACATCATTATGTAATGATAAGTAATTACGTAATGAGAAGTAATGATGGATGAGATCGGAAATCAGATCCGCTCATGTCAAGGGGAGGGCATGGAGTAGAGTGGTTAGATTCCAGCTTTAGGGTCTGATCCCAAGCTGTGTGACCCTAGGAAAGTTACAGTGTCTCTGGGGCCCTGTTCTCTCTTTGGCAAATTGGGAGGAACAGGAGAACCTCCTTGGAACCTTCATCTGAGGATTAAATGACCCATATCCCTCTAGAGGCAGCAGAATGTAATAGGCATGAGCATAGATTTGGCACCGAGTTAAAAGGAATCCACAAGTCCATACTGATACAAGTAAATACAAGAGTTAATAAAGAAATGTGGGCAAAGGTAAAGCTTTTTTCAGAGTAGAATATAAACCAAAAATGTAGAAAAGAACGAAATTACATAATAACTATTTTGCAATCATCATAGTCATAACTGATTCAAGCCATAATCATCAATAGATGCTAAATGTAGCAGGTAATCTTGTGATGAGAAATGGTCTATAAATCTATGTATATATATGTCTACCTATCAAGAATGGGAAATGGGGCAAAATATAGGTGGGGAACCCGGGTCAAGGATGCCTGGTCATTTTGGGGTAATATTCTTGTAACTTTTCTATTTGATTTGTCAAAATAGAAACTTAAAAAAAAATGAGGGAGGGAAGGAAGGAAGGAAACTAGCAGCAATAGTTGCCTAGTTCTGTTACACTTCAAGTTTTCTCATGATCATAGGCTCAAGAACAAGTAAGGTTAAAAAAGAATCTAAAACAGCTCTTAATGGTGCACGAAGAGAAAGCATGGGTTTGAATATCATTTCCATTCCTATGGGAGCTGTGACCTTCAGCAAGTTACTTAACCTTTCTGTGCCTCGGTTTCCTCTTCTGCAAAATGGGGATTTTAGGCTAGAAAGGTTGCTATGGAGACTAAGAGTTCCTAATTGTAAAGAGGTTGGCACACATCGAGTATATTTGCTACTACAGCATTTTTATTACATGCACAGTGCTTAGTGTCAGGAGACTCCAAATAAACGTCTGCTCTTATTATACTGATTACCGGGCTCAAAACCCTTCAATGGGTTTGCATTGATCTTCTGTTAAGGATAAAAATGTCTTAACTGAGTTGTAGAAGGCTTCCACCGCTTTCGCCAGGAGCCCCGTCTCCCTTTATTCTTTCAAGTCTCAGCTCAGACACCTCTTCCTTAGGCTCCTCTGCGACCCCGAGACTACATTTGAGCTCCGAAGGCCGCTCGTTGCAGTTCGAGCACTCGCTGCAGTGACTACCGTTCGCTTGCTCACTGGTCCTCGGTACAGTTTAAACCCCACGACCGCAGAGCTGGGGATCTGCTGTTGCCCACAGTGGGTGGCACGGTGACACGGCCACCAGACCCCTGCAGGCTAAACTCGAAGGCGGGGTGGGGGTGGGGGAGCGGAGGGCGGTGCTGGCCCCGCCAGGGCTGGGGCGCGGGGCGTGGTGCGCGGGGCGCCGGGGCGGGGCCGCGCGCGGGGCCGGGGGGCTGGCCGGGCCCGCCCCGCCCCTCCCCTCCCCCTCCTCCCTCCTCCGGCTCCGACCTCCGCCGCCCGCGCGCCCTCTGCTCCCCAGCGCCGGGTTTCCTGTTTAAGATGGCGTCCCCCGTGGCAGCGCAGGCCCGGAAGCTTCTGCGAGACCTGGCGCTCCGGCCCCCGCTGCTGGCGGCCAGGTCCCAGGTGAGGGCGCCCCGTGGCTGGAGCCGGGCGAGGGGCGCTGGCGGGGTCTCCTCGCCGCCGCCTCTTTTCTTCTGGTGGCGGGTGCCCGGCGGCGCGGGCGCTGCACCACGGGAGGCGACGCGCGGAGCTGCGCCCGGACGCGTGGGGGGCCCACGGTCGCCCCCGCTCGGGTGTGGGCCCGGGGCCGAGGGGGCGACACTAAGCCCTCCGCAGTCGTTGGCGTCGGTTCCCTCGGCTCACGCGGAGGGCGCTGCGTGGAAAGTCGAGAAGTTCTCGGGACCGCGTTTACGAGGCCCGAGGTTTCCCGGTCCGCTTTGCCAGGTGTCATTTGGAAACGCCTCGACCCCTGAACGCGCGTGTTAGGCCACGTGATGAACATGCCTGGAAACCCGTCCCAGCCAGGCTGGTGTTAGTAATGCACTTCCCTGAGGAACACTCTACAGGGTGACTGCTTTTGTAGATTCCGGGGGCGCCTGAGTCGGTAAAATGCGGGGGTCGAGGAGAAAAGTGGGAAATGCTCTCCCTTCTACACGGAGGAATCAGCCTCATCAGAGACACGTCAGAGCCTTCGCCTTGTGCCCTTTCTCCTGGTTTATAGAGAATAGAAAGTTAAGGGGGTCCGGGGTGGATGCAGAGTAGCAGTTCACACTTGGCCTCCTGTAGATTTTAGTCTGCAGATTGGCAGGAGTCGAAGTATTCAGAAGCCCTTTGTGGGGGTTATAAGTTGGTGATGACTCTTGGAGAAATCAGTCAACTGCTCAACTTCTGATTGTCCACAGATAAGTTCTTTCCCCCTTGAAAGAAAGGGCAGCGTGGGGCTCAGACATAGTTGAGCAACATCCTTGTTCATTTTCCCAATTTTTAATTCACGAGAGGCAAATTATCACGTGCAGTTTTTTAACAAGGATATGCATAGCATGGTTTTTAGGAGAATTTAAAAGATAGCTACTAATGGTTTTTTGAGTTACTCTAAGCTTTGGCTAATTATATGCAAGGTTTTTTTTTTTCTTTTCTTTATTCTCTCCTCTTATTTCCTGACTTCTCATTTCTCTGTTTTTGTTAACGTAAATTTAAAAGGTGCTAATACTTATTACTGTAATATCCTTAATAGGCACTTGACAGTATGGTGGGATAGCAGAAAGGAATGGCAGTTTTGTCTAATTAAAATCACTAATAACTATTGTAATGGAGTGAGGAGAATACCTCCAGGTGATCAAGTCCTATTCATTATTTAAGTGTTACGAAAAAACAACTGTAGTGCTAACTATGAGTGCAGACTTGAATTGATGAGACATATGGGCCCCTGGGCAGTGAAAACTCCAGCAAAGCTTTAGTTGTACCAGGAACCCAAGTGCTTAGCCGAGGTGTGATAGGGCTTCCTGCCTAACCAAGAAGTGAGATGTGAACACAGCACTCTAGAGAATCTGGCTGGGGACAGATAGCCTTGGTTTGTCAAGACTGGGCAAAAGGTTCTGTTATCTCACTCCATCGAGTAGCTTTGATTTACATTACTCTTGGATGATGTATTCAGTAAACACAAGGTTTCAAAGATGAGAACTTTTTTAAAAGTTGGGGATAGTACTTAGTGTCCAAGAATCCTGGGGTGGAGAATGAATAGATTAGCCAGGAAGGTGGACATAGATTAGGTAGTCAAAGAAACCAATTTGATAAGGTGGGTTTTTGTTTTGTTTTGGCCTTATTTTTTTTTTTTTGTTGCAATATAACACATGTACTAAAAAATGTACATATTATAAGTGAGCAACCAGAAGTTATCACAAATGGAACATGCCTAGGTCACCAGATCTAGATCAAAAAATTAATCATTTAGTGGCAACCCAGAGGGTCCCCTGGTGATCCTACCTGTTGCTGCCGCCACCTTGGAAAGGGTCACCAGTCCCTAGACTTACACCACCATACTGTAGCCTTGTTCCTTTCTGTACTTGTGTAAATGGAATTGTACACTGTGTAGTCACACATTTAATATTATGCGATCCTGGAGGTGACTTTTTGACATTTGAGTTGAGACCTGAGTAACCAAAAGTTGCCAGCCAGGTGAAACTCTGGAAAAGAGGGTATTAGGCAGAGATGATAGCAAGTGCAAAGGCCCTGAGGTGGGAGTGAGCTCAACATGTACAAGTAGTTAAAGAGGTGAAAGTGGTACTACCAGTAGTAGCTTGAGGAAGGCAGGGGCCAGATCATGTGGGGATTTGCAGCATCTGCAGCTTTTAAGAGTCTAGAGTGGATAATCGTGGGTTCGAGCCCCGCGTCGGCCTCTGTGCTGACTGCCAGCTCAGAGCCTGGAGCCTGTTTCAGTCTGTGACTCCCTCTCTCTCTGACCCTCCCCTGCTCACGCTGTCTCTTTTTCTCTCTCCTAGAAATAAATAAAATATTAAAAAAAAAAAAGAGTCTAGAGTGGATAAGTGACTTGCTCAGAGTTACTTAGCTAGTAAAAAAAATAGCTGGGTCTGAATCCCAGGCCTGGCTTCTAAAGGCAAGGCATTTAATTTTGTACTCTTATCACTCCTATTATAGATGTAGCTTTGAAACTTTTAGGGAGGGAATGTTCTGTGAACTCAGTACGCCAGCAAAGATCTAACCATTGTTAGGGGACTTTTCACATATAAGGGCCATGTTGCTGTGTCCAGACAGTCCTCCAGGAGAACAAGGTTCCGTGCTACATGGCACTGTCATAGAGCAGGGCATGGCCATGGTGGGCACAGAGCTGAGCCCACTCTCTAAGTCATGCCATATGGGAAATTTTGGTTGAGGGCAGAGTTTAAACGGTTAATGATAATTCAGTCCTGGGATTGTTGCCTTTCTGCACATGTTCCCTCTCATAAAGGCAGGGTGAAGTTCAAGGAGCTGCTCTGTTGTGAATTGTAGACATTGTGGAGAACACTGCCTGTCAGGTCCCCCACTGTAGGACTGTTGTGTGGCGCTCTGGGAAGCCCAGAGCTTCTCTGTCTAGGAACTTGGAGAGGAGTGCATAGTTTTGAAGGAAATTGTTTGAACCAATGCCCCTGCCGTTGTATCCTCCAAAATGGATGGCTCCTGCTTAATTTTCTGGTCCTTCAAGATGTAGGAGGAGAAAGATGGATGTGTGGATTTTAGAAGTAAAGAACTAAATGTTCCATGCAAGTCCTTATCAGCTAAATGAGGCTGTGGAGGCTATGCCGGAAGTTGGGACTCTCATTTTTGTGCCTTCTTGCCTAAAAGAATAAATATCTTACTTTTTTTTTTTTTTAAGATGAAGTACAGCTGCAGTTTCTGCTGTTAGAGAAGGAAATCTGTCTCAGATAATTTAGATGCTAAACTGTTGACCTTCTGTGTGGGGAAGACTTTAAGTGTCCCAAATTGGTTTTGTTTACTGTAAATGAAACTTCTCTTTTATGGGCCAGTGATGCAGTGCACAGATCCAAGGTAGTGAGAATGTTGCTGCCCATGTATCCTAGGTCTGTTCCACAGACACAATGCCCAGAAAGTCACTGAAATGATATCTCATATTTTGGGGAGGAAGAGAAATGATCTACCTAACCTCAGATCATTTGTCCTACAGTTCTCTTTATTACTCAGTGTGGGATTGTCACTTGATTTATCACTTTCTGTTTCTCGATGGAAATGTTTTGCCTGAAGAACTTGAGAGATTTGTACACGTTTGAGCAAATGGTAAAATCAATATCCTAATGAAATTTTGGGAAATAATACTCAAGTTAGTTTCGTGAAGATGGGGGTGGGGAGGGCATTCCAGGTGGAGCAGGCTGCGTGCAAAGGAAGAGGGGGGAGAGAACACAGGGGAGAGAAGAGGGGTCAGTCCTTGCCACCAGTTTGGTATGGAGAAGTGAGAGTCAGGTGAGTAGCCGAAGGTGATCTTCTAGGCCAATGAGGAAGGAGGATGGGCTGTAGAAAGCCTAGAACTCAGTATGCATAGAAATCCATCATAACTAAAAAACAAATGAATATTGTTCATTTTTAAAAATTTTTATTTATTTTTTTTTAGAGAGAGAGAGAGACGGAGTGCCAGCAGGGGAGGGGCAGACACAGACTCCAAAGCAGGCTCCAAGCTCTGAGCGGTCAACACAGAGCCTGACATGGGGCTCGAACTCACAAGCTGTGAGATCATGACCTGAACCAAAGTCGAATGCTTAACCGACTGAGCCACCTAGGCACCACTGTTCATTTTTTGAAAGAGTTTATTTATTGGTGCTCAGTCAGTCATGCTCAGGTCATGATCTCGTGGTTCATGGGTGTAAGCCCTGCGTCGGGCTCTGTGCTGACCGCTCAGAACCTGGAGCCTGTTTCAGATTCTGTTTTCCTCTTTGTGTGCTGCTCTCCCGCTCATGCTCTGTCTTTAATTCTTTCTTTCTCTTAAAAATAAACATTAAAAAAATTTAAAAACAGGTTATTTATTTAGTGAGGTTTTTTTTTTTTTTAAGTTTATTTGAGAAAGAGAGGACACATGGGTTTCGGCGGGGAGTGGCAGAGAGAGAGAGAGAGAGAGAGAGAGAGAGAATCCCAAGCAGGCTTTGTACTGTTAGAGCAGAGCCCAACTCGGGGCTTGAACTTACGAACCATGAGACCTGAGGCGAAGTCAGACACTTAAACGACTAAGCCACCAGGCATCCCACAAGTATTATTCATTTAGTTCGTTTTCTGAACCTGGTGGTATTTGGTGTAAGCCCCTTGAAGGCGGGAACTATATTGATTGAGTTCTTCCCTGGAAACCCAATGCTGAAGACAATGCTGGGCATACAGAGATTGCTACATGACTGAGTGAACGCAGCAAGGAGATACACGGCCCCTACCCTCAGGGGACTCAGAGATTAGTGGCAGAATTGACCTGTAAACCAATAATTATACTAGGGCATGTGGGTGCTGCATTCTGGCTGTGTTCCTAGTCCTCTAAGACACTGTGTGCTCCTGCACTGGGGACTTGCTGTGCCCTCCTTCTGAAACATTATTTTTTCTATTTTCAGGCTGTCAGCTCTCTCACTACATATTAA